TATTTTTGTAGTACAAAGTACAGTACACGTTTTTCTTATTTTATCAAAATTTGAACATTTTTGTTTCGGGCAGGTAACTTTTCATGTCGGGCAGGTAAAAAAATAAATAAAATCTTGTTGAACCCTGGTACATCCAGTCTTTACTTTCTGGAAGATTCTGTAAAACGTGTCTAATGCTTCAGGAGAAAGTTGAGACAGAAATATTACTCTCTAGCTCCACCTGCTGGCAGCAAACAGTTCTGAGTGGTGTGACAGTACTGTGGTACTCCTGGCAATAAGATGTGGTGACAGGATTTATAAATGATGGTATGAATCACATGAGGTGAAGCTCCAAACTTCCACAAGACCACTATAAATACTGGGTCCATTTAGAGGAAGATCAGAGGTGGAGACGAGCAGAAACACCACATCTACTGAGCCTCTCATCTCTGAGTCAGACAGAAACATTACTCTGACATCGTTCTAATGTTCACAAGCAGCTGGTCCTCCATTAAATACTCAACAYGCCACACACCACCAGGTAATATACCACAGTGTCTGGTTGAGGTTACACCTGGAGTAAATGATCAACACTGGCCCACCCTAGCAGCCAACAGGACTGAAAACAGGAAGATAAAAAGATGTAAAGAAGRCCAGCAGGACAGCTGAGCCGGTGCTGGTTCTGACCTCAGCCAGGACCACCCTGCAGAGCTTCTTCCTCAGAGTTTTAGCTCTCTTCAGGGCCTTCTTGTTGTTCAGCACCGGGACGCTCATCATGGGGGTTTTGATGCTGGAACTGGCCACCATCAGGATCTCTCTCAGACTGTGAGTTTGACAGACAGGAAGGAAAAAGACGGGCCTCTGATTGTCTGATTGTGAATAAACACGGTTTTCTTTTCAGACCAGGGTCAGTGTAAACGTGACGGGGAGCTGTTACCGAGGGATTCCCAGCGTGACGTTCATCTCTCCTCTGCCGGCGAAGTGGAAGGTGTTGAGGGTCATCTGAGTGGAGGGCTCRCCGATGGACTGAGCTGCCAGCAGACCCACAGCTTCACCCGGGTCACACAGAGAGCGCTGCCACTTATAGTGCAGCAGCTGCCGGAGGCTGAGGACAGAGAAATGACTGAGTTTACTTCAGGAAAACAGAAAGCTCTGATCTGAAGAYGAAMTRAACACCTTTAATTTGGAGGAATTTATTAGCACTAAGTCTTGTATGAATTTCTAGCATGAAGAATGTGTATAACCTTGTCTGCTGTGAAACTATCAGTTTATTGTTTAAATATAAAACAAGGTTGGGAACCACTGGCCCACAATATATTTTTGACACTGTGCACACAAATTAAACTAGCTGTGATTTTTATAACTGACTTCACAAAACTCACTGGGCACAAACACTCAGGTTTTAGTGAGACTGCAAGAAATGTGTCACATAAACTGCCTGGAATTGTTAGCGGTTCTGTTAGCACTGAAACATTTTTATACGGTTCTGCAGAACCAACATGTTCTGATCAGCACAGACAACACGACTGTAGTGTCATACATAAACAGACGGGGGGAACGCGGTCTCTCCCCCTGTTGGAACTGTCTCACACTCT